AGTTATGATCTTTCAAATGCCTTGAATCCCATTGTAATATCTGAAGATTCTTGATGCTCCAAAACAATGCAGTAAGTTGTTTGTGCTCAAAATTTTCTGTTTTCAAAACTTCCATTTCAAAGCCTCAGTATTTGAACCCAAAACCGTGCCGTTTCATATCTTGCAGAAGAATGATTCGCCTGAACCTTGTTAGGGTAGCCAAAAGGTTAAATAGATTCTGGTATACTAAACTATCAATTTAGCAATGTCTCTAAGCCTTAAATTATTTGAAAACTGTTGTGATAAATTCTACTGTGCAAGAGGGAATCGGAAGGGAGTTTTTGATTTCTGATGTGAAGGCGGTCCCCAAATGATCGAGTTGTGCAATCGGAGTGACAACTTCTGTTGATAAGGTTTTGATGACTCGGCTCAACCACTTCGTTTTTAGCAGGTGGCTTACAAGAAGGGGGTTCAAAGCTAGAGAATAGTAATTTCACGTATAAAATTCTGTATGCTTTTTCTGAATCTTTTTCCCAGTTATATTTTGCTTACAAAATGAGGTGTTGATACCTTTGTTTGTCGCGCTGGGAGCTCAAGAAGGTGTTGGAAATTTGAAATTTCTAAGTATACTTTTGAAGCATTATTGATGCACGTTTGAAGATGAAACTCATGTATTCCATTAGGGAACGATTTACAATTAAATATAAAGAGTTGAAGAAATTCGGTCAAGGACACATGGCGACGCTGAATCCGGTGACCCCTTCACACCTGTCCTTCACTGCGCGTCCCTCCGGTGCTTCTCTTCTCTTCACTCACAGTGAAGAAATTCGGTGATCCTCGAATTGCTCAAAGTTTCGTTTTCTCTCCAGTAAGGCCGTAATAGAGTAGAAATTAGTTTACCTTTGGTGCTTTCCGTTTGCCGTCGTTCACATCTTTTGCAATTCAGCAACTGTTTACATCATCTCGTGGAGGGCGGCGATCGTCTCCAACGCAACATCAGATGTGCGTTCCCGTCAATTTTCGCCTTCCCCCCAAAGGCTTAATCTCCGCTGATTCTTTTCCTTCCCTCAATTCCGTCGATCGAAGGTTTAATCTAAATTATTTTTTAGAGCTCTTTGCATCCTCATTCCAGTAACGTAGTAACAGAGAAGAAATTGGGTGGCGTTTTGCTCCTTCTGTTTGGATCTTTTTGTGGAAAACTGAATCCACCGAAGGTTGGATTATATTTATGTTCTTTGCCCTTTGATTTTTCTGTTTTCCTTTGGTTTTCTCGTGTTCCTATTCTTTGCTGCCTATGGTGTAGACTGTGTCTCTTCAATTTGGTTTAAACTTGGGTTCCGATTTGCTTCGATTTCGATTTGCTTTGAATTGGACAGACAAAGAATAACATGTTGTTTGTGGCTACTAAGGAAAATCATATGTAATCCCCAGTTTTAGTGTTTAAAGTACACTTAAGGTGTTTGTTTTTTGTTTCTGCGAGTGTTCCTGCTGAATTTGAGTGTTGAAAGTTTAGAGTCGAACTCTGATTTACTTTGTTGTTTGCTGCTTCAACCGGATTTGCCTTCTCTTTTTTTGGCCTGCTATAGCAAAAAAATAACTCCGGTGTTGCATCGAACGAGACTAACATCTTCTTCCCTTTCATTTCTTCTTTTTTCAGTCATTGTTTATGTAGTAATACAAGTTCTCGGAGGTGACAAAGTGGTAATTTCTGTCAGGGAAAGCACAGATCGCGTTCGGGTTGGAAGTCAGGTTAGTCCCGTCTCTTTTGTTCCTTTGTTAGCTTCGGTTTTCCGTTAGTAATTAACCCCATTTTAGTTGGTTTGTTTGGGTTTCCAATAGATGTGATTGTGTTTCCTTTGAATTTTAACTTCCTTCGGTTAACTAGATCTTCTCTGTTAAAAGTATGCCTTTATTTCAGTTGTACTTTAGGTGTTCGTTTTTTTCCCTATGAAACGATATGTGGATTGGTGTGTAAACTAATTGGTATAAATTCCATCGGCTTACATTAACTACACTTCTGAACATTTTCATCTATTCAGGGGTATCCAAATTGATTCGTTTTCCTCGAAGCTATTGCCTTTTTGAGTTGTATCTAAAGTTTTTGTTTTTTTGTATGGCTTTAAAATTGTGTTCCTATTGCCCCTGCATGTTAAGTGTTTTACTTTCATTTTCTCTCATTATGTGGTAAGAAGATTTTAACTTGGTCATCCTTTTGAAAAGTACGTAGAATGGTAATTTGAAATTTGAAAGTGTGAAATTTAGCTTTATTTGATAATTTCATATTTTGATGTCACATCTTCAGATTTGGGGATCATCTATTTGTAAACTCATTATTTTGTTAACTTTCCCATTGTGGATGAAAACTTGCACCTAATGAAATAGCAAATAACTTGAACCAACAAAGCCAACATATGGTCTGCAGTGGGTCATCATTGTTTAATTCTCCAGTTAATTTATTATTGTACATTACAAAAAGTTTTATTCTCTAAAAGCATAAATATTTACACTGTTTTTTGGGTATTTCAGTGCTGTAGTTGCTGCTCAGTTGTGAATATTAGAGTCAGGTGATTTGAGCCTAGCAAGGTATGACCTAAAACTTTAATCTACTGTTTATATTTGTCTTCGACATAGTTTGCTTCGTGATAAATACTTTCTCCTGGTACGTTTATGCTGTAAAGTAGTTGTGTTTCATATTTTCTTGTACTTTGGTTGATTTGTGTGATATTATTTATATAAGAAAATGCCTCGGATAAAGGACTTAATAGAAATAGGAGAAACCTCTAATTAGCACAAAAGAAAATATTCTTCTTTGGAAGAACGGATGGAAATAATAAATGAACGATTAGGAGAGGAAAAATGATTGGGTTTTATTAACAAAATGCAGGAGCCATGTCTAATTGTTGATCCATTAGATAATATAGTAACTTGTCATGATTTACTACCTGAGACTTCATTGTGAATATTGTCATGCAAAATGTTTATTTGAGCCACCTAGATTTTGTTGCTCATCGAGGGAAATAAAATTGTTAGGAACAAAACACTTTCTTCCCTTCCTGATAGTGTTTAGCCTGGGACTCTTTTTAGGAGGGACAACTTTCCTCACTTGGATGTATGGAAAACATGTGTGATTTTAAAGATGTATGGAAAACATGTGGACTCTTTTTGGTAGTAGTTTTAGATAGATATAATTATGACTATTTGATTGTTTCTCGGGTTACATTCAGTTGAAAATTTACAGCATAACTTCGTACAATAACTAAGACTGATTAGTCGTACTCCTATACATAGTTATGTTTCTTTGATATCTACAACTCTTTTCGCTACTATGTTGCTTAGATGATTTTGGATGCTTTATTTCAGGATACTTTTAGGTATTGATAAAACATCTTGGTTGAACTTTAGATGCTTGCATAACATATTTGTATGTCTGTCAACTTTGTTTAATTATCCCGAAAGCCCCTTTTTAATGCCTTGCATCCCCATTTACTCGGTTGTATCTTAAACTATGTCAATTTGTCTGGCAGGAAAAAGTCACTGGAAAAACAGAAATGATGCATTTTTCTCTTAGAAGGATAACAGTTGAGAGAAACTTTTTGAGTTGCAGACGATAGATCTCTTTCTTCATTGAGCACAACAAGCCATATACGGACTGAGCAAAGCTGTGATGATGACGACGAAGAAGTAGTGTGATAGCATTGTTAAGTAGAATGGATAAGGTGATCTCTAAGTGGTTGGGGAGCTAGAGATTAAGAGATATCATTATATTTTTATATGATACTTGTGTGCTAATTGTTCAATCCCAATCAAATATTACTTTTTCATTTCATGTTACTGCTGTGTACAATCGTTTGATTATATGAGTAAGTCATGCAAACAATAAGTTATTAGTTTCAAAATTAATCAATATAGGATTTTGAACGTCAATAGAGGATTAGTATCAAATATGCAGCAGCTAAAATAACTTTAGAAACAAGAATTTACTAAGTAATATTAGCAAAACTTTGAAATTTATTTCAAACTCATCGTTCTCAACAAAACAATTAAACTGGGCTAACATTCACCACTTGCCGCACGAGCCACCAAGCCTAGTTATAACTAAATGTGCGGAAGTGGAAAAAATAAGATCACGGAGTTACAACTTTGACAAGGATTGTTGAGTGGAGTGGAAGGGACAAAACATATACCTTTGTAGGGGATGATGAAGTTAAAATCGTAAAAAAAATATTTTGCTAAACCTTAAATCAATCAACCTGCCACATACGTTTATAATACTTAATTTAAAGGTTAAAACATAAAATAAAAAAATAATTATAATTTGTTCTAACAACTGATTGTTGAGTTTGAATTTTTTTTAGTATAATTTGTAGTAAAAAAAAAATCACAAACTAGACAATAATTTCATGATAGAGTGAGTAATTGTTTTAGAATGGGAGTACAAATTGAGGAAACTACATAGATTATAAAAAGAATTGACATGACTAAAACCATTCTCTCTCGAGAGAGAATAAATACTAATTTAAAAACTCAACGTAAACTATTTTTTCGGGACGGAGAGGATATTATCTGATAATGATGGGGTACAAAATTGGCAGTCTGAAAAGTTAGGGAAAAAGAGAAAAGATTGGGTCTAGAGTTGAAAATTTTACCTTACCGATACGATGTCGTTACAGCCATTGTTAACGCCTTCTGTTGATTTGTTGAACAAAACATACATAATCGTTGCAAATCCATCGCGTTCTTTTCCCATTTCTTGATGATTAGAACAACATAGTTCAAATTTTCCTTATCAATGAGCTATAATCCCCCTCTTGGTTAGGGTTTTGGATCTGGTCGGACATGTTCCGGCGTCTTTGATCTCGCTTTATACTACCGGAAGATACGGTTTACTGCTCTCTTATACACCTGTGAGCTCAAAGTCGGATTGTGATCCCGCCCAGTGAGCTTTTCGTCTCAATATTGAATTCTGAGCGTCGAAATTGTTACGTCACAAGGGACTGGTAGCTGAATTTGGAGGAAAATTAATGGAGTGGGCAACTCTGCAGCATTTAGATCTCCGGCACGTTGGCCGGAGCGCGAAACCTTTTCAGCCACATGCCGCGGCGTTCCACCCTACTCAGGCTATTATCGCTGCTGCTGTTGGAACTTACATCATGGGTAAATCAATTTCTGTTTTCCACGAAAGTGATCGTGTGCTTCGCGATCTGAGTCCATTCACTGCTTGACTTTTGTGAATTATTTGCTTGATTACAGAATTTGATGCGTATACTGGAAGCAAGATCGCGTCTATCAATGTTGGTTCTCCCGTAGTTCGCATGGCATACAGTCCCACCAGCGGCCACACCATCATTGCCATACTGGAGGTTAGTTTTGGGACTTGAAACTCAGTACAGATTCCACATTGCTTTAGAAGTTGTTATTCCCCTCAGTTTCTTTCTTGCTTTGAAATGGAAAGAGCTGCTTCTAGATAGATGTAAAAGCTGGTGGTAGGTGATGCTATGTTTTGAGGTTTGATATTTGATATCTTGTGTTCCAGGATTGCACAATTCGATCTTGCGATTTTGATGCAGAGCAAACCTGTGTTCTACATTCACCTGAGAAGAGGATGGAACAAATCTCATCTGATACAGAAGTCCATATGGCCTTGACGCCACTTCAACCTATTGTGTTTTTTGGTTTCCATAAGAGGATGAGTGTTACAGGTATGTCTTTCTCCTCCTTTACCTAGAATAGGCATATTGCTTCATCTTAATCTTCCGTCATCCATAGTAGGCAGACCCAATAGCCTGTTTCTAGAATTAGCTCGCTACCTGTTCATCCTGGCAACGTACCAAGGAATGATCTAACACTAATTCTTGCACCATACAGTAGACCTCAAGATAATTCAATTTTACGGACAAGTTTTATGCTGCCACTAATTTTAATTGATAATCAATTTCTCTGTGCTTCTTCATGTCTTCTTAAGTATGGTAATTCTTTGAGCCATTATAAGTATACCTCAGTTTACCGTATGAGATTTATGCTGCTATTGAATGTATCCAAATGATTGTCAACTTCTTCGTGCTTCTTCATGTTATCTTAAGATTTGATGCAAGAGAGGATGGTTACTTTTGGGTTGAGCTTTTTGTAACTATTTAATTTAAGAAGCAGCTCGTTCTCCAATTTCATGCAAATAAAAAGAAAAACATTTTTCCAACTTACTTGGTTCCCATGAATTTTGGGCTTTGCTTCTTTGTTTCTTTTCTATTTCATGGTCTTGTGACCATAAAATTTTCTACTGTGCATGTCTTTCCTTTTACTCTTACATGCAAACTCTTCATGTAGCTTTAGAACTTTGCTAAACTGGTTTTTATTTTCATGGTGTTTCATCGCATGAAGTCGTTGGAACGGTGGAAGGTGGGAAAGCACCAACAAAGATAAAGACAGACTTAAAGAAACCTATTGTTAATCTTGCTTGCCACCCTCGCCTGCCTGTTTTGGTAATATCTTTCATCTGCTTTTTTAATTTTTAAATGCCATGCACTTGAATTTGCTTATATGGACTTTACTTGTGGCTATTTTGCGGTTCCAGTATGTTGCTTATGCTGATGGTTTGGTTCGAGCCTACAACATCCACACCTATGCTGTTCATTATACTCTTCAACGTGAGTTCTCTTTTTTCTCTAAAATGACATGAAATCGATTTGATTTCTAATTGTATCTGCTTATGAATTTGTGTGAAATACACATCTCTCTGCATTCTATTCGCCGATCTTCTCCATATGTGTGGTGATTGATGATTATTTCTGCTGTTGTAGTTGATAACACAATAAAACTAATTGGTGCTGGTGCCTTTGCCTTTCATCCAACGCTGGAGTGGGTTTTTATTGGTGATAGAAGAGGTACACTGCTGGCATGGGATTTATCAACTGAGAGGCCTATGATGATTGGGATGTAAGTTATACATGACTTCATTATCATCATATTCATTAATTTCTTAAATTTCAAATTTAATATGCCTTCCTCTTTATTACATGAAGATTGCAAATGATTTTCTAACTTTGCATAATTAGGGACAATGTTTGTAAAACTAGAATCGTTGCAGATGAAACCCCCTTTTTTTGCTGAAACTACAACCATTGCAGATGAACCGATTCCGCACTCAATACAATGAATATGTCGTTAGACTTATTATAGGGATCAAAGTTGTCAATATCCATGCAGTGTTTTGATAGTTTTGATAGCCTACGTATCACGCAAGATTTCCTTAAGCTTTTTGTTTTTTTTGCTTTTCATATAATAATACTTTACTACTGTGCGCGGATCAAAACATAATGAGAATATATATGCATTTTGCATGTTGAGATCTGGGTATATGCGCTTGTTCTGTTGTTCCATTCCTGCTTGTACCTTCTTAAAGTAAAGCGAAGTTTGTTCTCTCTTTTGTGGTCGTATTCCTTAATTATTATCTTTTCATTTCTGAATCATTTCTGTGTTGGTTGTATTCCTTAATCATTATCATTTCATTTCTGAATCATTTGACAGAATATAACACAGAGATGTCATACAGTTGAATTCTCACATAATCAAAGACTCTATGTTTAATTTTCTTTCATTTCCCCCCTGTTCTTTTCCACTGTAACTTGCAGTACTCAAGTTGGTTCTCAACCTATCACGTCAGTTGCTTGGCTTCCTATGTTGCGTCTACTGGTTACTTTGTCTAAAGATGGAAGCATTCAAGTGTGGAAGACTCGAGTTATACTGAATCCTAATAGACCTCCAATGCAAGCAAATTTTTTTGAGGCTGCTGGTGGGTTGAACTATCTGATTTCTCTTTGAAACATCTAACTTATGATTGGCAGAAAATCTCTGCGATGTTAGGCTTAATTTCATCTCTTTGTTTTTTCTGTGTTTTTTTTCCCTGGGGTGTGTTGATTTCTTATTGAATAACATAATTCTCAAACCTTTTGGCTTTTTGGGTAGTGCAGAATTTGTAACTGACACTATTGCACGAAGTTAATGGAAAAGAATCACATGAATCAATATAGTGGTTGTGTTTTTAGCAAGCTATGGAATAAATTGTATCATCAGGCTGACTGAGAGGCTCTAACATGTCGCGACTAACACGGAACTTTGACTAGGTTGATGCTATTGAAAATTCCTTCTGAATTGTTACAAATGCTTATTAACTGAACTTCTGCACATACAGGGGTAGAGCTGTAGGTTATAATATATAATGGATATTTAATAATTTTGTCAGTATATTTATTTTCTGCAAGGAATTTTGGACGTTATTGTGAAACTGAACTTAGGAGTTCAATCTCTGGTCAAAAGAATCAATATCTTCCCTCTATAAGCTTTTCTTTGTGCTAATCTGATGGAAGCTTCATGCTCTGTTTATGCAGCTGTTGACTCAATTGATATTCCTCGGATTCTTTCTCAGCAAGGAGGAGAAGCAATTTATGCTCTACCACGAGTAAAGGCTTTAGAGATTCACCCCAAACTAAACCTTGCAGCTTTAATATTTGCGGTAAGTAATTATTACTTATTACTCCCTCCGGTCCTTAATATAAGGCATTTTGATTTGTCATATGTTTCACCTAGTACGCATTTTTAGTTTAAAAAAAAAACCTTAAAAATATTTCATAACAATCAAGAGAATACAATGAATTTGAAACCATATTTTTAAGGTTTTTTTGCCAATTAAAAATGCGTTTTAGGTCAAATTTAGGACAAATCAAAATGCTTTATGTTAAGGACCGGAGGGAGTATGTCACAACTGACAGTCTTTATGTTACATCTAAATGGTTGTATGTTATGTTTATAGAATATGGGGGCTGGTGACAACCGGAAAAATAGAGCCGCATACACGCGAGAAGGACGTAAACAGTTGTTTGCTGTTCTGCAAAATGCTAGGGGATCTTCAGGTGATTACCCCTCTCGCCCTCCCCTAATGACTGCTCTTTCTTGGTAGGCTTATGCATAGTGTGGATTCCAATAATCACATATCTGATATAGTTATTTATTTATGCTTCTGGAACTTAAACTGTAGAAGAATACTTCTGATATAGTTATTTATTTATTTATCTGATATGTGATTCCAACAATCACATATCTGATTGTTTTAAAAACAGTGCATTTCCTTTCCACATTAACGTGAAAGAGAGAACTAATTTGTTTAAAAATTCACGTAATGGCTTTATCAGTTCTAAACATTTCTGGTACTGATATCTCTATATTATAAGAAGAGGATATTTTAACGTTTCCATTCCTGCTCACTTTGTAGTGTCTGTGTATACTACCTTTCAACTACCTTTCAAATTTATTTGTAAATTATGATCTTTGCCATGACCATTGTTCGAATTACGTGTTCTCTTACAGCATCGGTCTTGAAGGAAAAACTAGCATCTCTTGGTTCATCTGGAATACTAGCTGATCATCAGCTTCAAGCGCAATTACAAGAACATCATTTGAAAGGGTGAGGGTTTTTCCCTTTTCTCGTTAAGGCGTGCAAAGTCCCTGTGGCCTCTGTGATATTTTGCTTCTGAGTGGTTAAGAAGGAGAACGTAAATTATTGAAGATGGAAGAAATAAAGCTGTCAATATATTATAATAATCATATCTGAATTTTGTTTCTGATTTTATTATTATTATTTGGGAAGAATTTTTTTGGTTTGTCTGGATGAAACTTTACCTAGTGATGTTTGAAATTTCACTTATACTTGCTATGTGTATTTTGATCTTATTGAAAATATGAACAAAGCTGTGAGATTTATGTGGCCTTGCATATGATATTTTATAACTTCTCTGGAATTTGATGGCCGTTGAAAATTCAGATTGCAGTAGCCTTTATGTTGATTAGAATGATTGAAAACTCTTCGCTGAAGATTTAGCAAATTTTGTTTGTTTAGTTGTTTTTAGGATTCCAACATCCTGATTACGATTTCTTGGTTTTTGTTTCAGACAAAATCACATTACAATATCAGATGTTGCGCGAAAGGCTTTTCTTTACAGCGTTTGTCCCTTTCCAAATCCATTTCTATTCTTACCACATGTTTTTCAAGAGCCCTGTAATTATGTTGACTCATTTACTTGCTCTGTGTAGCATTTCATGGAAGGACATTCCAAAAGTGCTCCAATAAGCAGGTTACCCCTCATCACTATTGTGGACAGTAAGCATCTTTTACGAGATGTTCCTGTTTGCCAGGTAACTATATGGGAAATATCATCGTGTTTATGTAAGAATATGTCAGCTTAACCCGCTTAGAATGTGATCCCCTTTTTCTGTTTGCCTTCTCAGCCATTTCATCTGGAACTAAACTTTTTTAGCAAGGAAAACCGGGTACTTTATTATCCTGTGAGGGCTTTTTACTTGGAAGGGCCAAGTCTTATGGCTTATAATCTTGCTTCTGGAATGGATAATGTTTACAAGAAGCTTTACACCTCAGTAAGATTTTTTCCTTTTAGTTTTTCACATTTTTCATGTCTGCAAGGTCTTGATCTCACCAAGTTAATGTCGTCAGGTACCTGCGAATGTAGAATTTCATCCGAAATACATTGCTCATAGTAAAAAGAAGCACCTCTTCCTTGTTGTTTACGAGTTTAGTGGTTCTACCCATGAAGTAATTCTTTACTGGGAGAATACAGATGCTCGTTCCACGAATAGTAAAGCAACCACAATAAAAGGTCTTTCCCTATCGTAGTTGTGTTGATTTTAGCTGCTCTACTTTAACAAATCTGCGTATATTAACTTTTATAGATGTTCATTCGTATTTCAGGTAGAGATGCCGCCTTCGTTGGACCTAATGAAAATCATTTTGCAATTCTTGACGGGGATAAGACGGGACTTGGTTTGTTTACTTTACCTGGAGCACCTACACTAGAATCTAAAAACAAGAATGCTGTGGCGGATGGAGAGGAAACTGTTGATAGCGACATAACGGATGTTACCACAATAAAGGGGCCACAGCAGTTTATGTTTGAAAGTGAAATTGATCGAATTTTTACCACTCCACTAGGTATTTTGGTCTGAACATTACTAAAGTGAAAATGACTTCTTCTTTTGAAACTCTTGCACTGAAACTTTCTGCCATTTTAGAATCGACTATCCTCTTTGCCTCTCATGGGGATCAAATTGGCTTGGCTAAGCTTGTGCAAGGGTACCGCCTTTCAAATGCTGACGGGCATTATATATCAACAAAAGGTGAAGGGAAGAAGTCAATAAAATTGAAAGCAAATGAAGTGGTTCTCCAGGTACTTTCTGGACTGCATTGCTGCTGCAAAATTGTTTCCACTGTTTATTTATTTTTTCCTTGTGTGTCTTATTAGAGTTTATCCAGCCAAAATTCTATTTGTTTCGTTCATGTTTCATTCCGCTACTTTCAGTGTTTTTGTCAATTTACATTTCCCATGATTTATAGTGCTTACACTTTCAAAATGTTTCTTTGTAGGTTCACTGGCAAGCAACTCTGAGGGGTTTTGTTGCTGGTATAGTGACTACACAAAGAGTCCTCATTGTGTCAGCAGATTTGGATATACTGGCTAGTAGTTCGACAAGATTTGATAAGGGGCTTCCTTCAATATCCTTGAACCTTTAATGAATTGTTAATTACTCTTTCTATCATCACAGTTAGTTATTCTTTTCTATTATTACTCATCTGTTGTTTGACTTACTCTCTATTCATTTTCTCTTGTTCTGATTTTGTAAAAATGTTGTGTTCCAATGTCTTTGAATTGCTGTTATCTTAACTTAGTATCACTTTAGATCTCTTCTTTGGGTTGGTCCAGCTCTTCTTTTCTCAACTGCTACTTCAATCAGTATGCTTGGCTGGGATGGAAAAGTGAGGACGCTACTTTCTATTTGCATGCCTAATGCAGGTGAGGTTTAAAATTTGCTCCGTAATCATCTTTGGACTTCCAAGTGCTGGATCCTTATAGATTTTATTTGTATATGCGCGCGCTAGTGAATTATTTACAACTTATTTATGTGTCTTCTGTTGTGAAGTGAAATTTACGATTTTCATGTGCAGTGCTGGTTGGAGCTTTAAATGATCGTCTTTTGCTTGCTAATCCAACCGATATAAATCCCAGACAAAAGAAGGGTGTTGAGATAAAAAGTTGTCTTGTTGGCTTCCTTGAACCACTTCTTATAGGATTTGCCACAATGCAGCAACACTTTGAGCAGAAGCTTGACCTATCAGAAGTGCTTTACCAAATTACTTCAAGGTTCTCCTTTAATGCAAATTGATGATTATCTGGCATGCTTTAATCTGCTTAAAAGACTTGGAACATATTTCAGCTTTTGTTAATTTGTTTGCTTTAAATTAGGATGCTTACCAAACATGTACATATTTGATTTTCTTACTGAAGGTTTGATAGCTTGAGGATTACTCCGAGGTCACTGGATATTCTTGCCATTGGTTCTCCAGTTTGTGGTGATCTTGCTGTTTCACTATCCCAATCAGGCCCACAATTCACCCAGGTAAGCTAGAAGTGCATCCCTTCTGTTCCTTCTATATAATTGATATTCTCACGACTCACTTGTTTTACTTGGTGGTCGGTAGGTGTTGCGAGGAGTTTATGCTATCAAAGCACTTCGATTTTCTACAGCTTTGTCTGTCCTAAAGGATGAGTTCTTGAGATCTAGAGATTATCCACGATGCCCTCCAACATCGCATTTATTCCATCGTTTTCGCCAGTTGGGATATGCTTGTATCAGGTGATTTGCTCTCTCTTAGTGTGGATTCGATTCATCATAAAATCTCTGTCCAGTTTCCTAGAGCACTCTTTACTGGTGCATGTTTATCTTTTTGAGGCAGCTCTCGGCTATTAAAGAATTGGGTATATTATAGCTACCTTTCTCGAGGCTAGGTGAAACTACAAAGAAGCCTGCTGGTTTAAGAAAATCATTGATACCACCATTGAATGACTGACAACCATGGATAGTGTAAAAGCCTAAAATGGTCCCCTGTAGAATATTAAACTCAATTTCATAACTAAATAAATAAATAAAGAAAAAACAATAAAAGTGGCAAGGTTAATGCTTTGATTGCAAATAACGTTTAGTGCTCTCATTTTGATATCTGTTTAGAATTCCTTAACTTCTTTTCTTAAATCTGGACTTCAGTTAGAATTTCCTTGTGTACAATTACCCTAATAAGAATTCACAAAATTTCACTTATTTATTAGTCATGTGCAAGGGATATTTTGCTTATGTGATGAGCATGTCTTGAGGAGATATTTACTTACCATCATAAACTTGTACTAATATTAATATTTTTGAATTTCCGACTATCAGGGGTTTAAATGCTATGGGTTTAACTAAGCCATGGGGATATCAGTAGTTATTCCAGCTATTCAATTCATTTGATAGTTTCGTCAATCCTTGATGGTCCCTTTATTATTGTTGTATTTGAGGTGTTGCTATTGTGTCATTTGTTTTGGGGTTATTTTCCTTTCATCTTCTGTACTAGTCTGCCACCAATCTGAATCTTGCTAGCACCAAAACTGAATACCAGTTATTGCCTGGAGTGTATATGATTGTTATATTCTGCATATACTGTGCATTAATACTGCAGTGCCAGCTGGCCTGCCTGTCTATTGAAGTCCCAATTTTTAAAGTAGCTATAGTTGTGACAAGAGTGAATCAAATCTCGTCGATTCTACAACTCTTTTTCTGCATTTTTTTGGGTCTTGCTGACGTAGAATTACTTTGACAATACAGATATGGGCAATTTGACAGTGCAAAAGAAACATTTGAAGTAATTGCAGATTATGAAAGCATGTTAGACCTCTTTATATGCCATCTGAATCCTAGCGCAATGCGACGTCTTGCTCAGAGATTGGAAGAAGAAGGTGCAGATCCAGAAATAAGGCGATATTGTGAAAGGATATTAAGAGTCCGTTCTACAGGTTGGACACAAGGTATCTTTGCTAATTTTGCTGCTGAAAGTATGGTTCCTAAAGGACCTGAATGGGGTGGTGGAAACTGGGAGATTAAGACACCTATTAACATGAAGGATATACCCCAATGGGCACTGGCTGCTGAGGTGATGCCATACATGAGAACTGATGATGGTACTATTCCGTCTATTGTTACGGATCATATTGGTGTTTATCTGGGTATTATTAAAGGAAGAGGCAATGTGGTTGAGGTGAGAGAAGATAGTTTGGTGAAAGCATTTAAAGCTGGAGCTACTGACACCAAAGCAAATGGGCTTCCGTCTGCGCTAGGTACATCACTGGCTAGCAAGTCTAAAGGGGCTTCTGAGGGCGATAACAAGTCTGCCTCCTTGATGGGCCTAGAAACCCTTACCAATCAAGTTTCAGGTGGTCGCTCGGTAGATGAACAAACCAAAGCAGCAGAAGAATTTAAGAAATCACTTTATGGCACTGCTGCTGATGGTAGCAGCAGCGATGAGGAAGAAGGTTCAAAGACCAAAAAGTTACTTATCAAAATCCGAGATAAACCGGCAGATGCTGTTGTGGATGTAAATAAAATTAAAGAAGCTACGAAGCAGTTGAGTCTGCCCCTGCCTCTAAGTAGGACCAAGTCATCAACTGGTTCCTCTCAAGATCTTGGCCTCCTTTCATCTCAACCTCCTGTGGCAACCAGTGGAAGTTTGACAATGCCTGTGGTTGCTGCACCTGTTGATCCTTTTGGAACCGACTCTCTGGTGCAACCCACACCTTTGTCCCAGCCTGCTCCTGTTATGTCGGGTGGTGGAGTCACAGCACGGCCAATTCCAGAAGACTTCTTCCAGAACACAATATCATCTATCCAGGTTGCAGCTTCACTACCACCACCTGGAACTTACCTTTCACAACTTGATCGTAGTTCTCAAGGGATAGAAGTTAACAAAGCCACACCTAACCAAGGCAATGCAGCTGCTGTGGATATTAGCCTACCTGGTGGTGGTGTTCCACCACCTGTAACCCAACAATCTGTTGTACCTGAGTCCATTGGCCTTCCTGATGGTGGTATACCACCACAATCAGTTCAGCCAGCTGGATTAGTGCAGCCACAGATCCATGCAACCCAAGTTCCAGTCTCTACGCAGCCTCTTGATCTCAGTTCTCTGGAAGGTCCAGGTTCTGGTGCATCGGGAAAAGCTCCTGAACGACCTGCTTCTCCAAAAGCTGTACGTCCTGGCCAGGTGAGCATTTCTTTTTTGTTGTCGTAAATTGTTAAACCATTGTTGATGCCTTGCTAAAGAAACTTAAAGTGAATAGCACAAGACCAGCCATCAGCCACCTAAAAGTCCCAGTCATGAATCGAAAGTTTTGAATTAAAAAGGTTCTCTTTTCTTTTTGTGAATGAACTCAGATATAAAATTTCTCACTCAAAAGATATAAAATATCTTGATGGGCATTGCCCAATGCTCACTCATATCTGACAAACTCATAGCCAACCCTACTCTGGCTGCTTTAGCTTTGGATTATCTAGTAACAGGGAATATTAGTTAACTGGATAAATTTTGCGCCATTCCAATCTAAATTGCAAGTGCTTATATAACCTTAATTATTCATCTTCTTTTGTTATAGGTTCCTCGTGGAGCTGCTGCTTCAGTTTGCTTTAAGACTGGGCTTGCCCATCTTGAACAGAATCAACTGCCAGATGCACTATCTTGCTTTGATGAAGCTTTCCTTGCACTAGCAAAGGATCAATCTCGTGGGGAAGATATCAAGGCCCAAGCTACAATATGTGCCCAGTACAAGATTGCTGTCACACTACTTCGGGTATATTGCATTTTCTGGCATAAGTTTGGCTATTTCATCTGAAGTTTTTCACATTCTCTATACAGTATTTCATCTATTGTTGAATTTAGACTTTTAACAACTGTTTATATTCCATCATACTTTTGCATTCTCTTGAAATAAGCGTTTGAGGCCTGAGGGAGGCAATTAGGTTAGATGTTGTCATTTCCTTTCTGTCTATTTTGAGACTTGTCTCCATCATCTTAGACCTTTTGTGTTTAAGATGGATGATTTGTTATTGTACCTCCACATGTCATTTAGATTTTGGAAGCCATTGCGTTCTGTTAACCCTTTTAAAGACATCAGTGTTGTTTGGTTCAGAAAGGTGTTAAAAAACATGCAAGGAAAAATTGAATCCACAAAATTTGTTAAAGATTCATAACTAAAGTAAACTCAATCTACTTTGAGCTTTTGTAGCTTTGGGTATAGCATTTATGTCTCTTGAATTTTTCCTCAGGAAATAAGTCGGCTACAGAGAGTTCAAGGCCCAAGTGCTATCAGTGCCAAGGATGAGATGGCAAGGTTGTCACGCCACCTTGGTTCATTACCTCTTCTTGCAAAGCACCGGATCAATTGCATTCGAACTGCCATCAAAAGGAATATGGATGTGCAAAATTATGCGTATTCAAAGCAAATGCTTGAGTTACTCCTATCTAAAGCGCCTCCTGGAAAGCAAGAGGAGTTGCGGAGCCTGATTGATATCTGTGTTCAGAGAGGATTGACCAATAAGTCCATTGATCCTTTGGAAGATCCTTCCCAATTTTGTGCTGCCACGCTTGGTCGTTTGTCAACAATTGGATATGATGTTTGTGATTCTTGCGGGGCTAAATTCTCTGCCCTGTCAACAAATGGCTGTATTATTTGTGGAATGGGAAGCATCAAGAGATCTGATGCGCTTGCTGGACCCGTCCCTTCCCCTTTCGGCTGATTGTGTTCTAATTAAGTTGGCAATTTTGCTGTAGCCAACCCCATGACTAAATGGCTCCTTTTGGCTGTCTTTACGGTTTGGTATTGGTGGTGATCTTTTCCTTGTTCTTATTTCTCCCTTTCCTGTTGCTGTTCTTTTTTTCATTACGCATTCTGTTGTGGACCTGATAGGAAAATTGATTGTTAGGTGTGTATAAGTAGGTTTGTGTAAAGAATTCGACTCTTTGTAAATTATCAGTGTATTCCCAGCTGGGGGCTGGAACTATTTTTGGTGTACTTGCTAATGTAATGTCATCCCATTTTAGCTTGCATCCATCCATCTTATTAAAGTTAAAGTATTTAGATTGCTGGAAGAAGTGAAATGAGTTAAATGATCCGATCCAATTACCTCATAAGCATTTTCTCTTTTCCAAATTTTTTTTTTTTTACTTTTTTTTTTTTTATAACGCCCAAAACCCCATTAGAGATGGGTCAATAGTCTGCAAACCACAGTAGGAGAAAATGCAGGAAGAGGGGGGGGGGGGAATTATTTTTTTGATAATTTTAATTTTTGATACATTATTTTTTTTTTTTTGAAGAAATTGATACATTGTTGAACTACAATTAAAAATCCAAACTAGACTATCATTTTGGAATGGAGAGAGTAATTTTTTCTTTTTTAAATAATTATTGAAGACACAACTTTTCCTTCTATGGCGATAACTTGGAAACAAGTCATCCATTTAAATATGTAAATCAAATTGTTTGTACAGAAATTTGGGTCAAGAAAATCGATTGACAGAAGAGAATGCTGAATATCATCCATCGTCTCTGGGAAATGCGCAACCAGTTCTGGAGGCATCAATACCTTATAATTTACATGGAAGTCTATATAATTTCTCTGGGATCCCTGACTAATAAGGGGGGAAAAAATAAACTATCTTATTTATATGTACTACTTGTATTGTTTCTTGATGTATTTTCAGTATACAGAGACCAAGACTGTTGTTGGTTGAGTGTGAAACAAAAGGACTCTTCAACGGTGTATGAGGTACCTGAAACTGAAATTATAAGCCATTATTTCAAGATTTTGCGAAAGAGGGTCTCTTCTTTCCAGGCACTCCAATGCTTCATTTCTGAGTTGATGTGGAAGCTGCAGACAGACCCAATCTAGTAATCCATCTACGTCTTTGGCAAAGTCAAGAAGATACCAATCCAACAATTTTGGTATTATCAGCTTCTTTGATCGCGAAATGCCTACTGCTGCTTGCAGATATTCCTTCTTTGCGCCTTCCAACTCCATCTCAATTTGTGCTGCTGTGTATACTCTTACCTGCATTCAGAAAATTCCATTAGCCAGTCATTGATTGATCAACAAAATGAGAATGAACTGTGACTGTTACTGTTTAGAAGTGTAGAAATAGCTTACAGCAGGGGAGGACCAACTTCCGCATGAAAGTGCAAATGTGACCAGTGGCTCAGACCAGTCTAAACCGAAAAGACTGTGAGCCTTCATATCCTTGCCTTTGCCAGATTTTGGACAAGTCTGTTGACGTTAGGACAAGCAGATTGCATTTAAGTAAATAATGATTTCTGTGGACAATTCGCGAAACTTAAGCGAATGCATAATCCCGCAGGCAACAGTGCAAATGCAATTTAGTACAAGTCCAAGGTGATTACAAACTTACATGTTCTAAATGATACGGTAACCTGAGGATAAAATGCTCAATGGTAATTGAGTTTAGTGTATGTCCGCCAACCTTTATTGTTGCCTGAGAAAAGAAACCATTCAAAATCCAAGGATCAGTCTTCTGTCATAAAAAACTATATAGCTGATCACTACTAATGCACATTCTGTGATCTTTGGATTGGCTGTATAGAACATGAACACTCTCAATCTTCATGCAATATATGCCTAATACCTCCCCATTCTATGATTATCAGAGTAACTCGTGATTGTGTCCTCATCAACTGTGTTTATTTACTGTACAAAGAGCTACCATTTCAGGTCCATTAAAAGACAGAAAATGAATGTTACTCCTCGTCCCAAAATGTTTGTCTTGTTTTTTTACAATAAACTAAAAGATTAGAACGCTTGCCTTTTGCATGAGGTCTACAACTCTCTCAGGAGTATCAGGAATTCCATGCTCTAAATATGCCTGCAAAATTGCAAATACAGGTGGATTTAAATAAAACTTCTGGTTAGTTGATGTTTCACTGGAACAAAACAGCTATTAGAGAACTTGAGTGGTATTTGACAATGAGTAATTACTCACATTCATCATGCAGGAATTGTAAGTATTTATCCAGAAAGCAAGCTTCTGGTGGTGAGTGAGTCCCTCTACTGTGATTGAGGCTAACTTGCTAAGCAGAAGCCTGATGTTTTCAGCAATAAGAAGTATTCAAGCTCAATGAAGACAATTCTTGAGATTCAAAAATGAGGGGAATGAATAAAAATGTCTTACTTGAGCCTACGAATCAGGAACAATGCATTTGCTCTTCGGCTAAGATCAATGAAGCTTCCTTCAACAACATGAAACTTTTTGTAAGGACCGATATCTCTAATCTTACCATGTGAATTGGTAAGATAAGGATCTCGAAAGTCTATGCCCTCCGCGTTCTCTCTAAAATTCGCTGCCGTAAGACATGTGAAGGATTCTGCATCCATTGTCTTCCCTTTTGACGTGCTCAACCTTAAAAATATGGTACACAAGCACTTCAAGATATCCTGGGAAGTCCGGTTGGCTTCGCTTTCAGCTTCCAACATTCTGTCATCTGAAGAACCCGAAGAACTTTCTTGTGCCTGTTCTTGAACTCTGCTCTGCAATTGCAATTCTAATTGAGTCGGGTGAACCACGAACACAATGAGGCCTAAAAAAATTTGAAACAGCATCATCCTACCTGCAGTTTAAAGGAATCGGCACTTTTGCTCATTTGTTCCATCTTGATTGGATAGAGTAATTTTGCTGCGGGAAGTACATTAGTTACTGGAGGTGATTTGACCTTGGTTGCATTAGGCCATGATTGGTTTTCTTTTCCAAGCATTTCTTTTGCTGAAGGATTCGACTTCTTCACATTTTCTTCTGAACGAGCTGGCCTATCATGATTATACCTCGGGCCATCTGCAACGGATGATACGGCTTTTCTGGAAGAAGAACTTCTTGTGAGACAAGGAGCAGGCAATGATGTAGCCACAGAAGATGCAGAATTAACTTCAGCACTGGAAGAATTTCTAGAATGCTGTCTTCTTCTGGTATTCAAAATCTGAATTGGACGTGCTGAATTCGTGTCATTGTTTCTCGAGGAAGTGGAAACAGCTTCCTCGTAAAGACCTTTCCTGAAATTCACCACCAGTTCTTCAAGAAACACCACTTCCTCTTCCAAAACAGCCACTTCGGCCAGAAGTTCTAGCATCTGCAAGAATCAAATACCAACGCTGAATTAGAGAACTAAAAGAGCAAATAATCAAGAAACACCAATCATCTTCTGACCAAATCAAGGAGAATGAAAGATCCAAAGAATGATGAGCCAGGTTTGAGATACTCACGCATTGGGGAAGATAAGGAGGAAGACGGGGCAATGCTCCCAGTGGCCTATTGAAAGCCCTTTCCAAAGCTCTATGAACATTTTCTTCGTGTCTCAATTTCTTCTTCAGTTTATCAACCTGCCATTGTTGAAGGAATATAAACTACACTTAGTAATTGCCATCAAAGCTCAAATTCAGACTATCTATCAGCGATGGTGACATCAAAAGGACAGAAATCAAATTTACATCTTGTAATAAGGCCAACTTTCTCTCTTTGGCTGATCGACGCCTCGTGAGTTTCTTCGCAGAAAGTGACTCTCTTTCCAGCATTTCCATCTTCTTCTCCTGTAGCAAAGATTCAGCATTTCCATTTAATATTTTAGAATCCACCAATATTTTTCACCAAATCAAAAAGGAGAAAAGAAGACACTTGATTGAAACAGAGATTTCATTAATTTCAGATGGGTTACTTTCTTGGTGTAGTAATAATGATTTCGTGAATGTGTTAGGAAACGAAAAACCCATCTAGATTTGGAACAAAAGTTTGTAACTTTTTTCAGTTCGGAGTGATAAAATTCACAGTCCACTATATCTAGATTACAGTTAAAGACCACGAACACCAAGAATTTTTTTTTTTCAGGTCCACTTTCTGGGAATTCTTAAATCTTAACCAGGCCATCTTTAAAGGAGGAGGAAAAGTAACAAAAGGACTCACATTTTGAGGACACAAAGTCGCTTTCCTGGACTGAATACTATCAATATTGCGTTGTTTGCTGCTCATTACTTCATACCACTCTGCATTACATTAACAGAGATTGATTCAGGCTCAGCCACGAATCAGATTTAAGCCCTGACCAGTGAAAGAAAAAACAGAGGAAAATGGAAACTAAACTATAAATCAAATCAAAGTTACCCTAATGCAAATCGGGAAGAACCAAAAAAAAAAAAAAAATCACAAAGGGAATAGAATAGTATTGAGGACGTTAAGAAGAAGAACCTTGATTGGTTGGGGGGAAGGAAACGCAGAATTTTGAATCATTTTGATTCACATGAAACAGAGAGCGGGAAAGATAATTCAGAATGGTCCAAAAGATTATAAAAACACTGACAAAATTAAGGGAGTTTTAGTAATAATAGTATAGTAACGTGTGGAACGAGGTGATGAGCTGAAAGCCTGAGGAATTGGTTGAATGAGGGAACATAGAAGCGAGTATCTTTCTTGGTTGTGGGTTGATGAAATGAACCCACAAAACAAAAAAAATAAACAATTAAATTAGTGATGTTTGTTCTTGAAGGACGTGAATGAGGAAGGGAGTTCGATAATATTAACAATAATTATCAAACAGAAGTAAGATATAGTACTTAAAAAAAAAAAAAAACCAACATTTGACTCAGTTCCGGAGATCAGTTTGGATTGAGGAATTCAGCATGGTGGTCTGGCGCGAACGGACGGTCACCGGAATGAAAAATAGAACAGAGGATGATGATGATGATCCGGAATGTATTTTTCTAGGGTCTAATCAAATACTACAATAAATCCTTTTTCTCTTCTGTCACCATCTAAAATCCAACTACATAATATTTTTTGTACCTGAATTGTCAACGTTAGGACGTAAGAAATGTAATGTACCCAAATTAACCCCTTTATAAACAACTACTTATACAAGAGTTTACAGTGGATGATGATAAGATTGGGAGGAGATTGATGGAGACGGCCAATTTTGATGAAATAAATGAGATCGATTCAGGGAAGGATTGAAGACAATGATATATAAGAGAAAGGAGGGGCTGCCTTTCTTGCTGGAAAGATTGGAAGAGAATAGTATATATTTTTAGTAGTAGTACCCTGGCATTATTGATGAGTGAGATGAGACAGCCAGTTTCGATTATGATTGAACCTGCCATTTTTACTGAATTTCTTCTTCCGGGTTTGTTTGTTTTTGGGCTCAATCACGTTTTGTTCGTATGTTATGATGTGGGGTTTTCCTAACGTTTTGGTCGAGATTTCTGTGACAAAAGTTTTTTGTTTGTAAATGATGGATTCGTTACAGTTACAGAGATTGAACAGTTCAGTCACCGATATTGTTTGAATATTAATCACGTTTTGTATTTAGTGAACTTTTTTTTAGCGTTAATTTATTGGTAAAAATTTTGCCCTTCATTCAATTCTATACTACTTCATAAACAATTTGAAGATCATAATAAATGCAAACAGACCAAACATTTGCTGTTTCTTTTATAAATTGAAAAGTACACAATTCAGTTCAGTTAAGTTGAATTATTGGTTTATGTTGGATACAAAAAGGTTGTATAAAGGTTTGGATGATCCCAGAAATTGCTTTGGCAACATTTACGAATTTGGAATTCCCCTTTTAAATAGTGTCATTTATTGCAAGAGACATTTCAACTTTTCAAGAGTAACAAACCAAAAACTTTACCGACATGCAAACCCTATTAAAAGCTTCCTCCAATTGTCCGACTGTAAATGCTACCAGCCTAGGACTCATTTTAGCTTTACCTTTTCTTTTTTTTCTTTTTTTTGGTACAAAAATAAAATAAAATAAATTAAAATGGAAATCTAATTCGTATATTGGCAATGATCATATTTCAACTATAATTTTGTACTAATATGCAATGGTGGATTCAGTTCAGGATATAATTAGTTGATGCCGATTTATATGGTTTTGGTTTTGCACTTCTACTTTGTTTAGTACATTAATTGACGAGGTTAATAGTTACAGCAAGTGGATTCAAAGTTGACATTAAAAAAAGAAAAAACCTGGGATCTGGAGACGCTTGCGTGTTAGCATGGATTAAGGAAACTTTCTTCACGAATGAAAGACATGCAGATTAAGGAAAACAATGATATCCTTTTGACTTGGGAAAATTAAAAGAATTTTAACCCATCAAATCAGCAGTACCCAACGGTACGAACTGTGTGAGACTTTGGAAGGCCTTACTTGATTCTCATCAAATTCAACAGTATTTTGCGGGCTTAGTCTCAACAATTAAATCTATTGTTTTTACTTCTTCTATTTCATTTTAGTCATTTAGTGATATTTTGGATCAAAATAATACGATAAATTATTTAGAGTGCCTATTATAATATGACGGTAAGAGGGAGATTAATAATTACTGTCTTTGTCTTTAATAATTTATTTTTTTAAAAAAAATCAAATAAAATAATCATTTTAGACATAAAATTTAACTTAATTTTAGGATTAGTTGGGATGATCAATGATCAATAAGCGCATTATAAAAATCGCAAGCACGTGACGAAGCATCAGAGGACTGAGAAGGCCGGCAGACAAGCCACCAACATGAATCATATTACTCCCGCGGGCGGGAAAAAATTTACCTTTCTTTTTCTGCTCCAATTAAAATCGTTATTTTGTTGGGTTAATTTGGAACAAATTCATATTGAAACGGTTGACAGAGATTATCGTAATTTGGAATAAATAGTTCTTCTTCTTTAATCTGATACTAAGGTAGAAATGATATTTCGAAAACCATTTTACTAAGAACAAAATAATAGTATTGGATTTCTACCTTTTTCTAATCTTTGCTAAATTAATACTTCTTCTTATTCAATTGAGTAAGACAGGAGGGAAATCGTTAATAGGTCATGGTTAATTGAGTTCACAAGGTAATACTATTAACTATTAAGTGCCAACAAAATGAAGACAAAAAAAAGGATACAAAAACTCTGAGTCACACCCAAGAGATACAAGACAACGAAGCATGATGAATGCCTTAACCTAACTCACTCCCTGCGTTAATTTCATAAGCTTTTTGTCGGGGAAAGCTTCTTTTAAACCTTTTAAAATCTTAGCAATCCCTTCCGGTTCTAATTGGTCTGATAATTCCCGGAGATGAGCGTCACGTTCTTTATATTATTATGGCCAAAAAATCAAAATGTATTTTCCTGGCCGGGACAAGTTATATTTTTACAATAAATTGGTAATCCTCCCGGTCCAAAATTAGAAACTATAGTTTCACATTATTAAAATCGTGCGAAAACAAAATGTAACATAACTGAAAAAATTATTGTGTCTGTTATTCCCATGATACATTGTGGTATTTATAGTACAATATTGTAACAACCCTAGCCGTCTACATAGTAAACCTTAATTAGGGTTTCGATTATTTTCATATTCTATCATCCCCCGCAATCGTAGCAGGAGAAGTAATCATGCCTAGATTGGTTCTAAACAAATACAATTTATCCTTAGGTAAAGATTTGGTAAAGGCATCTGCAAGCTGGGATTGTGAGGAAATATGAAGGACCCGAAGAAGACCAGCAGCAACACGTTCACGAACAAAATGAATGTCTAGACCAATATGTTTGGTGCGAGCATGATTAACCGGATTTGCAGCTAGGTATGTAGCAGAAACATTGTCACACAAGATGACCGGGCGATGTGAGAGCTTGATTTGAAGTTCAGACAGAAGATTCTCCAACCAGACGGTTTCAGCCAACGTAGAGGCAACAGCCACGATACTCAGACTCAGCAGAAGATCGAGACACAGTGGATTATTTCTTGGAAGACCAGGAAACTAGTGAGGAACCCAGAAAAACACAAAAACCAGTCGTAGAACGGCGAGTAGTAGGGTATCCAGCCCAATCAGCATCGGAATATGTAACAAGGCGATCAAGGGGGCCAGCACGAAGATGTGTACTATAGTGAAGTGTACCCTTAATGTAACGAAGAACACGTATGACCGCCTAAAAGTGCTGCTCACGAGGATCATGCATATGTTGACAGACAAGATTAACCGCATACTGAATATCCGTCTGGTGAAAGTAAGATACTATAATGCACCCACCAAGCTCCGATAGAGAGTCGGATTGTGAAAAGGCGGAGACTCAACAACCGAAAATTGAAAAGCCGGAGCAAGTGGAGTTGCAACTGGATTGGCATCAGTGAGATGACTGCGAGCAAGCAACTCCTCAGCATACTTGCGTTGGTGTAAAAACCAACCACCAGAGTGAGGAGCAACAGAAATACCAAGGAAATAGCTTATTGGACCAAGATCCGTCATTGCGAAAGCGCCCTTCAGCGACTGAATAATAGTAGTGAGGAGATGATTGCTAGAAGCTGTCAAGAGAATGTCATCAATATAAAGTAACAAAATAGCCATATCCGATCCAGAAGAATGCACAAACATGAAGTGTCGGAGCGACTGCCTTTAAAACTCTGTGTAAGCAGAAAAGCAGTGAAACGATGAAACCAAGCTCTAGGAGCTTGCTTTAAGCCATAAAGAGCTTTGTTCAACCGACAGACATAGTGAGGATGGTCTGGATGAACAAAACAGTAGGCTGTTTTATATAGACAATTTCATTAAGATGACCATGCAAAAACGCATTTTTAACGTCCAACTGATGAACGGGCCATTTTCGAGAAGCAGCAATACTTAAGACAGTCCGAATTATCACAGGTTTAACCACCGGACTAAACGTTTGGTCATAATCAAGTCCAGGCTGCTGATTGTAGCCTTGAGCGACCAAACGTGCCTTACATCGATCAAGAGAGCTATCAGATTTTAACTTGACTCGAAAAATCTATTTGGAGCCGATAATATTGGCAGAAATAGGGGGAGGGACTAAATCCCATGTATGATTAGTGAGGAGAGCATTAAATTCGTCATTCATAGCGGCACGCCATTCAGGGTATTTATTCGCTTCAGTAAAGGATTTTGGTTCAGTAGGGAGTGAAGAGGATGTAATAGTGGTAGTAAGAGAGAGTATCTGTTTAGGTTTACGAGTACCATCACGAGTTCTAGTGACCATATGATGAATAGGGGGATTCGAAATAGGAGGATCCGAAGTATGTGACAATGAAATAGAAGGCGTGGGTGCAGATACTGAAGAAACGGGTGACACATATTTTTGTGAAGGAAAAGCAACCAATGGAGAGGATTTTGATGAAGGGAGGGATCGTGAAATAAGGAACGAGGGATGTTTAAAAGGAGATTGGGGAGGATGGTTTTGGGGAACCGAAGAGAGTTGAGGAAATGAAAAAGAGGTTTCATAAAAAACGACATGACGGGAAGTATAGACTTTCTTAGAAGCGGGATCAAAACAACGATAGTCCTTATAAGATCAGGATAACCAAGAAAGACACATGGAGCGGAGCGAGGATGGAGCTTATGAGAAGCTAAATGAGAAAAATTGGAAAACAGGAACACCCAAAAACCCTTAAGGAACCATAGTTAGGTGGATGACCAAAAAGAAGGGAGAAAGGAATGGCCCCATTTTTTGATTTAGTAGGTAAACGATTTAACAGATAGACACTAGTATGTAAAGCCTCTACCCAGAATGCATGTGGTAAGTGAGCTTGATGCAGAAGCGTGCGGATCATATTGATTAGTGTTTTATTCATGCGCTCAGCCTTGCAGTTTTGTTGAGGAGTGTACGGACAAGAGATACGCATTGTGATCCCCTTAGATTTAAGAAAAGATTGAAGATAATGAGAATGAACATATTCAGCTACACCGTCAGATTGAAGAGTTTTGATGGAACCATTGAATTGAATTTGAACAAGAGTATAAAATTCAACAAACTTTTGAGGAACCTCGGATTTATTTTTAAGAGGATACACCCATAAATAACGAGTGAAATCATCAAGAAAGAGTACAAAATACTTGAAACCACTAAAGGAATGACACAGAGAGGTCCAAACATCTGTATGTATAATATCAAAAGCACGAAAAGTAACTGAAGAAGAAGGCATAAAAGGGAGCTTATGATGCTTCCCAATTTGACAAACCTGACAAAGACTAAGTTTATTGGAAGAGATCACAGAACCAGGAAGACTTCGTCTGGACACTAATCTGGACAAAACGGAGGCATGCGGGTGACCAAGGCGTTGATGCCATAATTGAGAAGAGACGGAAGTAGCAAACACCGGACAAGACGGAGAAGACGGTGCAAGGGATGGATGGAGCAGTGAGAGCATAAATATATAAAGGGAACCAGTACTATTGCAACGTAGACGAGGGGTCCTCGTCCAAAGATCCTTCACAGAAAAACCAAAAGGGTCAAACTCAACAGAGCATTGATTTTCAGTGGAAAATTGACGCACAGAGATTAGATTTTTTGTAAGCGAAGGAACATGGTAAACATTAGGGAAACGAAACTGAGAACAAGAGAGTTGACCAACGGATTGAATAGGTAAAGAATGACCATTACCAATAATGACTCGAGTAGAACTAGTATAACGTTTTGAATTAGTGAGAGTACCTTGAGAAGGAGTCATAGTGTTACCACAAGCAGTGTCCATATACCAGGAGGACTCAGCAGATGGGGGAATAGAAAGCCGATTATTGTGACCCACAAAGTAAGTGGGCTGTTGAAATTGATAGCAATCTCGAGCAGAGTGATTGAATTGATTGCACAATTGGCAACGAACAACAGTGGAATTGGACTGAAAAGAGGGAACCGGACCAAGAAGAGAGGGAGCACATGGCCTGGGAGTAAACATAGGAGCTGTATAAGAATTAAAACCCTAATTAGGGTTTCGATTATTTCCATATTCTATCAATAACAAGTACTAACACTTTTAGCTAGAACATTTTGGTTTTAATTTAAGGAATTACTACGCATTTTATAATAACTTAGCCATTCCCATATTTGGTCTCGAAGAATGTCCAACCGCACATACAATACCAAAAGATATGTTCGCCTCCGTTCCCTAAAAATACTACTTCTCTCCTTTAAAAAAAATAGTATAATTTAAGAAATATAAATCTTAAAATTAAATTTATCATGTAGGTATAACCTAAAATTAATTATTAAATTGATAAATAGCCATAAAATTTTATTCAATTTTTTTTAAAAAAATTTTAGTTTGCAAGATTAGGTCATCTTATTTTATATTTCAGTTTTTCAAATTGAACTATTTCTCTGAGACGGAAATGGTATAAACTTTTACTGTTTTATTATTTTGGATAAAGTGTGTCTACTGGTGTTAGATCAAACTGATTTTTCATCTCTTAATAATTTCTTAATTATGAGGTTTTTCTCCTTGTCCTCATTATTCTAAAACCAAAAAAAAAAAAGGAAAAGAAAAGAAGAAGAAGTGTGAAATAGAATGGTGTGGTAAACTGTAATTTAAGAAGAAGAAAAAGAAACACGGTTAATAATCATGGGGATGAAGGGTGTGTGGGTGATCGCACTTCAAGGTCGATCTAATTAAGAGGGCGGATCTTGTCTTTCATTTCCACATCCATTATTTTATTTTTCTTCTTCACCTAAACGCATCGAGTCACGAAAACAAAGAGTTAACTGGAACTCTGCTGATATTGCAAATTGTTGAAAAAAAAAAATGAAGCTTACGTCAACTGAATACATCAATTTCTGATTCTTATTAATTGTTTCTACGTAGTTGAAAGATTTTGTTATAAGTTAAATCCGTGTTATTAATTCTTAGTGATGATTATATGCTCTATACAAAGAGCTCAAATCTGCAAATTAATCCGACATGAGACGAGTGTTTTAAAACTAAGGCAGTTAATAAATCAGGTTTGTGATTTGTGATAAATTTAAGAATAATTTCTACATAATGATTATCCTAGTGATAATCATAATATGACTAACATGTTTACCGTAATTTTATCTGATACACAAAATATGTTTCATTTCTTTTATAATACTTTCCTTTTCTTAAAATGATTGTTTAGTTTGGAACTTTATTTTTAATACGATTAAACTAAAAATAAAATACAAACTGGACAATTATTTTGGAACAGAAAATAATATTTTACAAGACGTTGCTCTAACTTTTTCAGAAATGAAGTTTCGGTTGTCGCATCGTCCAATGATATGTAGTTGTATATGCTATAAATTAGAGGCGGTCCTCCAAAAGCCAAAAAGGATGAGATTGGTGAACGATTAGTCCCGCTCATTCGCTGTTGCAAAATAAGAAAAATAATAAAAACAGTGGTCCTTTGGTTGGGCTGTGGACAGATGAAAATGAAATCCTGGACCATTTTCTCTACAGCTCCCATCAACAGCTTCGCCATATGGTATACATTCATTCAGATTTCAGACTGATGGAAAACTCAAAGCAACTTTCAATATAATAATAATACTTGTATATACTAATATATACTTACAGCCCAGAAAAGCTTTTAATTTTTTAGTCTCTTCTTGTTGTGAGCCTAGAAGGACCAACCAAATTAAAGTCAAATCAAATATTCAATCCCACCAATATCTACCTATATGATAATAGGCATATCTAGTGTGTTGATAATTCTGAATTCTCAAGTGGTCATTTTCCCGAAAGGTGCAGTTATCTTTGCCAGTTAATGAATGGCAAAGAGAAGAGATATGTTCATATGGTCCCGAATTCCAGAGGGGAATACCCCGACTCAGGAAAGCGTCAAGTTGGTGTAATATGGTTGCCTCCGATTGCCGGCAAATCTCAGACCACCGCTAGGCCCCCTTTGCTAGCCCTAGCCTAGCCTGCTTTGTTTTTATTACACTTCTCTTGATGTGTTGTTGAACAAACTTCCGTCCACTTTTTAACATGCATGCTACGTTAAAAAGGGCCAAAAGCTACCTACTTCCACTTCCATTCAATTTCAGTGTCTTTAGGCATGCTATGCATTGTGGTAAACATCAATGTCAGCAGCGAACTTTTTAACTTTTAAGAGATCCGCGGCTCAAAACTGCAATGGGGTGGTGATACGACATTGACATTTGTTTTACCATTTGAAAATGATTAAATCTGTAAGCCGGCGTTATTGAGTTCGTATCGTGAAAACAATATTAGCACTTCTCTATTTCGTTAACCTAGTAAGCCACAGGAATTTCCACTTGATGAGTCTTGTTCGTTTGAAGGAACCTAAGATTTACTGTGTATATGTTTATCCAAGAACAGAACATCAAGGGAAGGGTCATCCGACTGGGGTATTCTAACTTGGATTTTCTCATGCAAAGATTCTATAACCAAGATCAACCAAAACACATATAACCCAAAAAAGCAGAGAAAAGGGATTCTGTAGATTGCACACACATATAGTTTTAAAATATTGATTTTCTTTTATTATTAACCCACTTCATTATAGCAATTCTTTGTGTCAGGTTGAGCAATTGACTTTAGGGTTTGTGGACCTGTTACAAAAAAGCTACATGAGGTGTTTTCTGTAGTATGAGGCTTCAATCCGGAAGTGTCTTTTGACCTATCCATATATGGAACTCCAAAGATATGTTCACCCCAGATATCATACCTAAACTGATCCTCAAACTCTGTCCTGGTTTCGGTTTTAACCGCTTTTTGCTCCTGCAGTTTCGAACCAGGTGCCCGAGCATGTGGAGCAATTGTAGATGTAGAAGCCAGAGAAGTTGGACGGGATGACCAAAGGGAATTGGGCCTGCCAGCACTTGGGAAGGTCGCAGAGGGTAGTAACACAGGCTTTCCAGGCATCCTCGGCAATACATCCAGCTTCTCCTGAGTAGAAACACCCCAAGGATGATTCTTCTTACCATAAGGTTTCACAGAATCAGAAGGCAAAACATTTCCCTTGGATCTGGGTTGAGAGGAACTACGACTTTCACAGCGTTGAACGGGAACTGCAAATCGATCCCTGGCATGAGTAGTATAATTCACTTCAGGAGAAACGGGCCGTGATGTTTTAGGAGTTAATGACGATGCTGGTGACAATGGTGATGAAGGTGTTGAATTGCCGCTTTGACTACTTGAAACTTCAAAGAGTCCAGCTATGCCATTTCCAGAGTTCTTTTTCTTCTTTTGTCGCCTCCCTTTATCCTTTCCAGTTTTGACTTTAAGGTTTCCAGTTTGAGACATCTCTCGACTATCAGAGCTATCAACTGCCACTGAGTTCATGATTGCAGGAACCAGAGGTGTCAATACCTTTTCTTTATCCTTGAAACTACTGCTCTTCTCCAAAACCACAGCAGACTTGGCAGCCTTCGCAGTCGAAATTTGTTGTTTGGTAACACCTCGACCATCATTAAATCTACTAGAAGGTTCCAGCAGATGGGACTGCTCCTCCCCAATGGACCTCAATAGACCATTCATTCTAGCAGACAGAGTAAGCTTACCATATCTTTTCTGGCTTTGATCTGCATACGAAGATTTTTCAACTTTTGTTGCAGAAATGGATCTTTTTGCAGTCTTAAAGAAGTAACCTTGGCTAAAGCTTGCCATACAGGGAAGGAAGCAACCAAGCAATAGAAAACATACAGAGGCAGTAACAAGGACTGCGACAGCAAATTTCTTCACGCGCATCCAGAAAATTGTCTTCTTACAGAAACTTAGCATGTAAAGAGGTAGAGTTGCTTTCATAGGAATCACAACGGTACCAGTTCCCAAGACCAATTCAAGATCTCTATGTATTGTAGCCACAGAAAAGTCACTTTGATATGTTATTATGAGCTTCATTGCATTCCCAGGCTCAAGACGAAAACCTTTACACGTCTGCACAGCAAATCCATCCAATCCACATTTTGTTCCAGAAACTTTAATGCTTCTGATCTCCAAGGGCAATTCTCCAATATTTCTAGCATATAACTCCTTCACTATGGGCTGAGAGCAAACATGGATTGTTTCTTCCACATTCTGCATATCCCGAGAAGAAGAAACATGCAGCGTGGGAAAGCTTAACTTGAAGTCCAAACTCTGTACAGGTCTAGACTCTTCAAACAACACCATGGAGAATGACCCACCAATACCACGCAATGATAACCACTCCACACCAGAGAGATTGTTCCTTACAAGCACTGAGCTTCTCCATCCACATCGATCTGATGGTTGAAAGAGCAATGGACCCAAGGAAGCTCTACCAAATGGATGTACAAGAGCCTCAGTCAAAGCTCCCTCTGCAGTTGAGAAACCATACCTCGCGGGGGAAGCTTCTCCAGTGCTGCTCAAACTGCTAGAGGCAGAGGGCTGCAAGGGCCCATCTACTCCCTTGCATTCATCTATAATTTCCCCAGAATGCAAAATAAGTTGCATAACGACAGGTTGATCACTTGGGTTTCTGACATTAACAAATGCGGAAGAATGATTTCCAACCTCAACAACTGGAAATAATACTTCATTGTCATCAAGCACGGACGTGCCACTTACTGTAGCATGAGACTTCCAGTTCTTCAGAACGAGTTCATCCACTGCAGGGGAATTCATTACCTTCAAGTAAACAAACAAGTCGAGTTTTAAATGTGTGACCATGACTACAAGAACTAACCAATAATCCAAGATGTATAATCAGACAAAATAACTTCAACGCGAAATCCATAATTGCAGCAATCCTTTACCAGGAAAACCTTAACAATGCATGACAGACATGACAGGCATGTCTTGCCCCAGACAAATGCCACAAGTTCTCTACTGTTGTACTCAACCAAATCCCTCAAAAATGATTTGAGTATCATCCTGATACTACATGTCAAAAAATATTGCCAAGTGCAAAAATAGTTCAATAGCTATGGCAGATGATGGTCAAACTCCTAAGGCTAAATTAACTTTTTCATATAAAATTCAAATATTAATTTTACAGAAATTGTACCATACTGTTAAATCGGTCCAATCCCAGCAATAAATAATGGCATCAGCCATTTGAATGAAAATCAAGTTGAAAGTTGGTTAGTTGTTTTAGCTATTACACATTGCTCCCGGATTTTACATAGTAGGAACTTATAGATTCATTTGTAAGTAGGTTTACCAGCAAGAGTAGTGAAGCATCATTTTTCAAGCCAAAAGATATGCTTTAAGCTGACAAAACCAACATTTGCATACAAAAATGACAAAAAATGTTTAAAATGAACAAGAGTTTTGTTACCTCATTCAACAACAGCCGCTTTTTTGCACTGTTTGAAGGTTGTGTCTGTATTTTGCCACTTCCCACAGATTCAGACCATTGCACTGATCCAACAGACGAATCAATTATATGCCTTGAACAAATATGGACCAAGTCTCTGCAAGAAACTTTAATCCTGTCGTTTCTTGAATCATTAGTCAACACCAGCAATTCACAGTTCATATTTGATCCACTAAGCTCGGATAGTGTGTCAAGCATTCGCAAGGAAATAGAAGCAATTTGAGTAACAGTGTTAGGGAAAAGAACGATCCCTTCAACATATTTGATATGAAAGAGGTTTGTGCTATCTCCCACTTCACTAATCTTCACAACTTTCACAACATATGGAGCATCATTTTTCATAGACAAATTAATAACAACGTTACCAGTACTACCATAAGGAACTAGGATCTCAAGAGATAGGGAAACAGGACTTGCATGCTCAATATTTACTGTATTTTCACGGTGTTCCGCTTCAAGAGGGACCAAAACTGTTTCAGTCTCCAGTGTTGAAGATCTCTGCAACTGCATACAAAAGGCACCAAAAATATTTCCTTTTCCAGGAAAAGAAACATCAAGCTCCATGATGGTCTCAGTCTTGAGAGGACCAACCTCCCAGCTTCTATGGGGCCTCATTGAAACTAGCGGAAGACCAACTTCGCTACTTTTCACATCTATCCACTCCTTAACAGTGAGCAAAGATTCATGTTGATCCTCAATGCTATTCATACCACATACAGTTCTTGTTGAGTAGGAAGTATTCCCAGCTGAAACTGATATCCAAGCAACTACCTCCTCCACATAAAGAGCTTCATCGAAAGGATTAAACAAGGACAAATTCTTTCTCCACTTTCCACTAGAGGAAACATCCAGGCCAACTAAAGACTGTATTTTGTAAGGCGACTCGATAGCAAAGCCTGTAGCCTGAATCAAGAAACCACCGGAACTTGTTTGCAGAACAAAGCGAGCTGAAGCCAACCCTAACCATGTAGGCAAAAACACGAAGCACATTGAGACAGATTCACCAGGTTCCAACAGTATTTCACTAGAATTGCAGGGATAAAACTGAGCATTTGTACTGTAAGGTTCATAAATTGTCAAAAGGTCATCTCTATGGGTGTTTGTAACTTCTACAAAAGCTACAGAGGGGAAGAACAAATACTTCTGTCCCCAGTCCAAATGAGCAGGACTTACTTCCACGTTGGGAGAGAAGTCATAAGAAATCCCAGACTTTTCAGTTACCAAACCTTTGTTTGATTCAACATACTGAGTTTTACGGCCAAGGAAAGGCTCCCTGCAGGAAGCATCATGTCCTTCGAGACCACAACCCTTCTGGGAATTCAGAGAGCAAGAGATAGTCCTACCACTGGTAAACTTGAAAATGTCACAATCTGAAGACCAGCTAATGTTAGCTCTCATGTGAGTTGATCTTGCATGTGATGTAGCAACTGACCCGGCACCAGAGACTTCAGCTGACTTAGGTTCAGCATCATGGTCTTGGGATAATAACCCAGGTAATGTAGAACGAAAGCAGAACAAATTTGAATCATGACATACATTATCAAGGTACCTGCTTCCACGCCCACGGTGGTCTAAATTGCCTGATTCAAACCCTAAATCCTCGCCAGAAATCACATCTTGGATATCTGGGTTAATATTATCAGCAAACGACTTGCACCCAGTATGTTCCACCTGAGACTCACAGGCGGCAAGGATAGCACCGCTCAGCAACAGAACTACCACCAAGTGGAGTACTTGAGCACAGCCATAAAGCCTCCTGTTTTCCACAAGACATAAGTAAGACACACTTTGAAGCACTTCCAATGAAAGGAATCAACAATCAACATGAAACTCAAAAGTCAGAACTATAGCTAATAGCTCCTTTTTAATGGGCAACAACCTCAAGAGACAGAGGAAAACAGGGCTATGAAAAAAAGTGCCAATCCTTATGCAAAACTACTAATTTGATAAAAAAATTGTTCTAACTTCTAATATAACAAAAAACTGATAAAAAGAACAGAAAAAGGGATAAACCCGAAATGCAGCAAAACTTTTACACAACAGATGATACACACATGCATACACACAATTCCTTCATGGTAAGCATTTAAAACGTACAAAAATCACCCCAACAACCCATTCCTTCAACCACCAATCCCCCCTGCACATATGGAGTAATATGAAATGATATTTTAGGAAATACCTAGAACTTGCTATATGTGTCAAAAGCCAACAAATTCATCAACACCATTAACTTCTACAAAAAAAAATGATTAATTTTCAACTCCAAAGATAAACCATTAACTTCGTTTTACCTAAAACGAAAGCAAACCAACCAACCCAGAGAATCACTTATTACAGATTCTTCCATTGAATGATCTTTAGACCATCAACTCTGCGCCGTTCTCAACCTCCGCCAAGCCAAACTCATCCAAAAAGGGAGAAAACAAATTCCAAAACAGAAACTTATGAAAACAACAACTAATCCAAAAGTCTCAGTTCCAGTGTACCCATTTTCATAGAACAAAGGAAGAGAATAAAAAATTAAAAAAAAAAGAAGAGCAAAAACAGAGTAAAAGAATTCACTTAAGATCTTAAAACAAAGCAGTACTCAGTAAACAGTTTTTGAGAAGGAGAGATGGAAGAAAAATTAAATTCCAGAAATGTATGATAATATATATAATAAAAAAAAGAAGAAGAAAAATGGAAAGGAAACAAAGTAGAGGAAGGACTTACCGATGACGATACATGGTGGCGTAGGGCAGCTGTGGAGAAGCTCCGATCATGTTTAGGGTTGAAGAAGAATCATCCATTTCCAAACCATTATTCAGACAGAATAAAAAGGTTTGCTCCCACTGTTTCCTTTTTCAGAAGATTGTGAAGTTGTTTTTTGAAAGGTTTAAGGAAAAAGAAAAAAAGAAATTTTTAGCCTAAATATCCCCGAACAGAAAATATATAAGTAAATAAAAGTAATTACTACATCACATACATACATACATACATGATACATACATGCAAAAAGGATACCTGATAAAAAAATTTAAAAAAAAAACAAAAACAAATGAATGGCCTCGAAGGACTAACGCTATATTAGAAAGAGAGAAAATGACTTTTCTGATCCCAAATTACATAACTACCCTCTTATCGTTGACGTGAAGTTCTGATTTATTTATTTATTTTAATAATTTGTTAGAATTATGTTTCAGGAGAATCATAAATATTGTAAGTAATAATTTATTTATTTGTGTTTGACCAGCACAACCAAAAGAATTTTGCCCCCTCTCACAAATTAGGCTATATTGGAGATTTTCTAAATTATGAAATTGATTAGTAAATTATACTTTTAATGATGAATAATTATTCACGTGTATTTATTGAATATGTTTAACTTTGACCTGATTCAAAAACGGTAACATAAATAAAATAGGATGATAGAAACGTTACGCGTGACAATAAGCATGAGCTGTAAAATCAGATTACGAATTCATGCGAAGTTATATGTGTAACAAATTTAAATTCAAATATACACGAGATAATTCACATGACAGACTGTAATTTCAAGATCAAATTATGCATCTCAATACGAATAAATCCAACAAAGAAAAACGAGATACTATGTAACGTTCTTTCATTTTTATAATCCATTCATATATTGTGTGATCTCGCACTCATCTTTTCTAAGATTAGGTTTTCATAAACATTACATTTGTCCCAAGTCATTATCACAAATTTTTTCTTTTTCTTTTTTTTTTCCCCTCCCGTTGGTGATCATAGTTGGCAATATAGGAGGAATGAGTTGGATAAAATGGGGATTTACTCGGGAGAGAGAAGAGAACAATAGTGGCTGTCATGCTTTTCAGTTGGACGTAGTACAATTTCTCTCATTTGTGTAGTACTGTATATTTCATTTTAAGTAATTAGTTTAGATTAAAAAAATACATAATTTCTTTTATGATGACTAAGACAGTCAGGTGACAGGACAATAATCCTTGTTAAATGTTTACTGGGGGGAAGAATATATATTAAAAGTCAGTTTTGGCCTCAGGGACGTACACGTGGGACCCCCATAAAGTTGACGCCTATGCTGTGAGGTCCCAGTTTGGGGGAGCATCGCGGCGTATAAAGGCTCGAGCCCTGCAGTCCACTGTCTCCAATCCGGGCTCGAATATTTAGACCACTTCGGTTTGTCCTTCACGAGGGGCTAAAATGGAATCTTCACCAACTCATCACATTAAAGTATTTTTTTTTTTTGGGCTACTTTATTTAATGAATAAATATATATAGAATAAGTCAAAAGGTTATAAAAATGGCATGAGTATTTAAGGGTTTACTTAATGAGCTCAATTTCATGAATTCATTGTCACGTTAGTCTATTGAAGATTGCATCTCAAAAGGTTATAATGTTTGCATTTAACTGAGTGATTTGTTAATTATTGTCTTCTTTGAAGGAATATCATTAAATGAATAGAACATTTCATATATCATTAAACGTTCATAAACCATTCACTAATATGTTATCTTCAATTGATAATCATTCGTCGGAAAATACCATGGATTCTTTAGGAGAGCAAAATTGATTTAATTGGTATATATACATTTGATGATTACCATTTATGTGTTTTACATCTGATATTGAGATAAAACTGACGACTCAATTGAATAGTTAGTTGTTACGTTTTAGTTTTATTTTTTATAATCAAGTATAGTGATATACATATATTATCGCTATACGTGACTTTGTTTGATTGCACGTCTTGTGTTCACGTTTGTGCAATGTTTTTCTTTGAACTGGATATATTTATACAGCTCTTCTCTGAAATGTTCATAGGGTATTAATAAATACTAGTATCAAGAAAAATTTCAAATGTAAGAATTCATCTGCTGCCGTCACGACTCATCAGCACTTTTTTTGTTTTTCTTGTTTTAGTAGGTTGGAAGACGGAGTCAGCAATGTACATTTTGTGATTGTTTTGGTCAAAAATGGGTGACACTAAGCAGCAATCACACGAATCAAGTTATGGTCTTTGCGCATGAAGTCTTGCGTAACAGAAAGTCATCTTGATTTTACTGTGAATGAATACGTTAGCATTTTGAAAATAAAATGTAAGAAGACAGGGTTATTTAAAAAATACTCTTTTTTTTTTTTTTGTCTAATGTCTATTTAACTCGAGTAAACTTGTGAAAGCTCTAGTCACAACGTATAAGAGGAAAAAATGACGTATTTAAAAAAAAAAACACGGGGGGTATAATATTTCAAAAAAAGAAATAAAGACGTAAACATGCATGGCTTGTATTATAATAAAATTTCATACTTCATTCTATTGATTTGTTTGTTCAGACTTCAGAGGTACCATCAAAATCTTCAAATGATTGTAAGAATGAAAAGGGTGGATAATTAGAATACGATTTCATATGTTTACATCAATAATTAAAATTGCACGTTTTATTATTTTTTTTGTTGTTATTTTATATTTTGAATTGAATAAGGAAGTGAATGGGAGAGACAGATGTCACTTTTTTTTCCTTTAAAAATTTTCTTTTTTGAGGATAATGTGACCCAATCACCACGAGAAAAAAAAAAAAAAAAAGAGACAAAAAAGATAGCTCTAAGGGATAAATCCCCAGCCAGTATCTGTAAGAAAAAGATAACCCTACAAGGTTACATCAAATTATCCCCTTCCGACCAAAAACTACGAATACTTCATTTTGTCCAAATATTAATTTTCAGATATAAAAAAGACAATGCACTTCATTTTTTTTTCCAGCAGAGAAATAAAAACAACAGAAGACCAAATTAGTCTTTAGAATAATCGCAAAAAAAGAACTTATAGTAGTACTATATATTACGGGTACATAATGAAGCTACGGCGCATTATGTTAGAGGAAAACGAAGAAAAAAAAGAAGAAAAAAGCATCAAATTACTAATCTTAATCATACAACTTGGGAGTTTAGAACTGGCTTTCTAATTAATCCAATTCTCAGGTGCTGTATGGTACACCACCGTGGACCATTTCTTTCGTAGAGAACACCAAACTGTGGGGCCAGGAGTTGCCACGTGGGTGTGATTCGGGTGGGCGGTCAGGTGGTCACCAATCTCCGTCGTGGGTGGGCTGAAAGGGACACAACAGAACCCCCAGTCACGTACGTACGAATATTGTCCACTTATAAATTTCTCGTCTTCATTCTCCTTCTTCTTCTTCTTCTTCTTCTTCTTCTTCTTCTTCTTCTCCCATTGTTGGTGTATATTCTTGACAATTTGCTTTTCTGGGTAACGTAGTTTCAAGTTTCACGACTTTGAAGTTTGAAGGTTCCCCCCCTCCATGGAAAAGGAGAAATTTAAAAATAAGCAAAATGGCGTCAGCCCTCTCACGCACGCACGTCAATGTGGTGGTTAAACAGTGAGCCAAATGGCAGGGGGAAAAAAAAAGCAGCAAAAAAGTAAACTCCTGTATATGCATAATAATGGCGGCTAAACTTAATTAGTCAGTCAGCATCCCAGGTTTAGGCAGCTGACTTTTGATTTGAACCCTCTCTCTGTGTCTTTCCTAATACGTACGTATCTTAATTGTACCTATGGACTATGGTTTATATATATATAAAAAAAACCTATGGACTATGGAGTATGCTCAAAATGCAAGGACATACATTTTCATATTCATCGACTTCGATCGAGAGTAACTACTTGTTCGATTTATTTCGGACGGGACAATAATTTTGAGACAGCAATTAGCATACGCAAATTATGTGAAAAATGAATGCACGAAAAATATGAGCAGTGAAATCCTAAAATTTTATTGATATATTCCAGTTTCGATTTTTACTTTTAGTATAACTTGTATTAGAATTTAAAATCTAAACTGGACTAATATTTTATATCAGGAAAAATAATTCTTTTGTCTTCTTCTTATCTTTTAAAAATTAAAGTCTCTTTCATGGAATTATTTTTTTAATAAAAAGTAATAGTCTTATTTTGAGACGTAATGAACACAAAAACATTTGAAGACCTTGAAAGAGGGGTTTCAATCGCTAGTCGTGGGAATTAAATTAAGTGTAAGAGATCAATAATATGGAATGGATGTGCCAAATGGGTTGTGTGGAGAGGTTTTTTCAACGGCCGCGAATCGGTGGGCTCTCACAGTCATTGCAATTGCATAGCGACAATATACATCTGCGTATGTACGTACTCCATAGAATGTGCTTCACTGCCTTTTTGCAATTTGGCAAAAAAAACACACAATCTTTTCTTTATATAAATAATATAATATAGACTTCCATTTTCCACCATCAAACCATGAAAAACACGGGACCCGCCCCTTCTTTCCGATCCCGAGTCATCCTTTTGCACCAAGCTTAGTCCTCATTGGTTGCTTTCAATCCATCCAGTAATTTTGGTTTCATTAAGACCCAAAAACGGCGAAACCAGCCAAAATGAAAAAAGAATAAAAAAACTAAAAAAGTAAACACAATAAAAAGGCAACATATAGATTACTTACAGTTGAATTAATCCAAAGCAAAGAAAGAACGGGATGAGTCTCTGTTTGGATTTCATCGATTCGGTAGTTTTAAATTTTTTTTTACAGTTGTTGTATTTGTATATTGTGACAGAATGATTTACTCATATAAACTCAAACCGTTCGGTCATAATTTTCATTCACGTACAAATTATTGCAATTTTTTTCACAAAAAGAAAAAGACAGTAATTAGTAGAGGAAATTTAATTAACAAAACATTGGCAAATGAAATGAATATGTGGTAGAGAGAGTTTTGGTCAGAACGTACTACTCACAATTTTGCTGACTTTGCCGGTGAGGGGTGGCGTGATCAGGGGTTCCTGCAGATTCGCTTGTATTTTTTTCTTGGTTTAAAATTTGGACCATTTTGAAGCTAAGAACAAAA